TTTGGAATAATGGACACGTAAAGCAGACGCTAACAGCTAGCAAAGAGCCATCCAAGAGAATCAGTGCGATTAAGCACTTAACCTAAGGTAAGCAGACGCGTCAATTCTTACACACCTCTGAATTGTTCTCATAGTAGTTTTTAATAAGTGATTCTGTGTCTGAGATCTTATTTCAAACGTCCGCCGACATGATGTTATTTAACTTGAGTTTTTCTAAAAAAAAAAATTGTCACATCTTGTAAGTCAATTATTTTGTTTATAGTTTTATAGTCCTAATATGGAGAAATATTTTTGTGGATGACCCCTTTTGTTTCATAGGATACACAATAATTTTATGGATAGTGAGATTGGGATTAGATTTCAAGTAATCCTATACTTTAATATCGTGACTTTCGTGAGTACTAGCATACATTATAAAACTACAGTGAGTACTGACATACATTGTACAACTACAGTTAGTACTAAATACAATGTACAACTATAGGGAGTAATTACATACAATGTACAACTACAGTGAATACTGACATACAATGTACAACTATAGGGAGTAATTACATACATTGTACAACTACAGTGAGTACTAAATACAATGTACAACTATAGTGAGTAATTACATACATGGTACAACTACAGTGAGTACTAAATACAATGTACAACTATAGGGAGTAATTACATACGTTGTACAACTACAGTGAGTACTAAATACAATGTACAACTTTAGGGAGTAATTACATACATTGTACAACTACAGTGAATACTAACATACAGTGTACAACTATATAAAGTATTAATCTTCATTGTACATCAGTGAATACTAACATACAGTGTTCAACTATATTGAGTTATTACATACATTGTACAACTATAATGAATACTAACATACAATGTACAACTATATTGAGTATTAATCTCCATTGTACAACTACAATCAATACTGACATACATTGTACAACTACTGTGAGTTTTACATACATTGTACCACAACCGTGAGTAATTACATACATTGTAAACTGCTGTGAGTAATTTAATATACTGAACAACTAATGTGAGTAATTAAATTCATTGAACAACTACTGTGAGTAATTAAATTCATTGAACAGCTACTGTGAGTAATTACATTCATTGAACAACTACTGTGAGAAATTACATACATTGTAAACTACTGTGAGTATTACTTACATTGTACTACTACAGTGAGTAATAACATACATTGTAAACTACTATGAGTAATTAAATACGCTGAACAACAACTGTGAGTAATAACATTTAGTGAACAACTACTGTGAGTAATTACATTCATTTGACAAATACTGTGAGTAATTAAATACATTGTACAACTATAGTGAACAATTACATACATTTTACAACTACAGTGTGTTATTACATACATTGTTCAACTGCTGTTAGTTATTGCATACATAGAACAACAACTGTGAAAAATAACATCGAACAACTATAGTGAGTAATTACATTGAACAACATACATTGTATAACTACTGTGAGTGTTTACATACATTTTACAACTACAGTGAGTTCTTTGAGTACTTACATGCATTATACAACTGCAGTGAGTACTAACATGCATTCCCCATTTCCATTCTCAATTTTATTTACTACTATAGTGAGTACTAACATGCATGCATTTTAATGGCAATATTTAGAGTTTTCAGTAGCATTTTTCATCGTCTTAGATTTTACTCTAAAGTTGTCGTGGGTGGGGGAGGGTAGGTATATGTTTGCCCTTTTCCCGTTCCGTCGTCTATGAAGACAATTACGAATATACTTATATTTTTATTATATTTTTTAAATAGGCATGGTGTAAGCTACATTTTGGAAAAGTATTAAATAAATAGATTTTTTTTAATAAGACCCATAATTTAAGCCAAATAATACCTCTTTACGTAGCGTACAGGCGATGGAGACGCATGGCTTCAGTAGTAACAAATGATTGAAAAATTGAATGAAATCCTTTTACTAACAGTGTTTACAGTGTAGTTATTCCAGCTAGCCTTTGATATGATTTAAAGACTCATTATGATGAATTTTGTGTTTATTAATAATGTTGAAGATACAGTTAAGAAATAGTATCTAAAGCCTTGCGTACTTTTTTCCCAATGTTCATATATAGGAAATTCAGTTTTTCACATTCACTACATGTTTAATTGGCTTTCAAAATTTGACTTCAAGCGTACCTGCAGATTGTAATATTAAAAGCGCCATTCAAACAACATTCAAATTAATGTCAAAGCATTAAACATCTAAGATCTTTTATTCATGTTTTCAGCATATTCCAGTATTTATTTGAATTTCTACTGTTTTGTTACTTATTTTGAGTTGTTTTCAACCATTAGAAGAAACATAACAACACTTACCTTCACTGAAACAAGACTGTGTAAAATTGTTAACATATACAAGAGAATATTTATTTTATAACTTACAAATCATAAAAAAGTAAACAAATATCGTTGACCATTGGTAAAAATAATTGCTTATGTGTCATTACTGATTGGTTTTATTTCCACGATCGTCCGGCCACTATGATTTATTAGGATTTATGTGATGGATATCTTGTCACTGGACACTCTAAAATTAGTGTATTAACTATGAAAAAAAATGTGTGTACTTTTATTTTCTGGACACTCCCTTCTAGTTCAACAAATATTCGTTTCACTACTAAAACAAGCGAAAATTTTAGTAAAAAATGTATGTAACACCAATAATTTGACGGACATTCCTAACACTTTTATATTCATTTGCAACAGTTCTTTTATTTCTATTCATTCATTTCAATTTAAAGATAAGGAGATTTGGTATGATAATCGTTCGTTTACACTGAAACTTTTTATTTATAAAGATGACAACCACAATGTCATTTTGTAAATCTGCCTCCTACCGCTACCGATGTTGGATGAAAAAGAATTTCAAATTGTGAAACAATAAAAGCAATTTCATTGTGAAAGTTACTAAAATTCTATTTTGTTTATGCATTAAAGAAAATATACCTGTGTTCAGTGTTTTCCATAATACAAAAATAAAAGTAAAATGATTTCTGGAAATACGAAGAATTCATGCTTTTAGGCTTTATGATGGCGCCAATTTCATCATAAAACATCGTACAAAAACATGAACTAGTAATTTATATTTACTTTTTTTAAAGGACTATCAAATTATATTTATGTATCGTGATTGTCGTACATTCTCTGTCATAGGAAAAAAATGTCAAACTTGAGATAGGCTTGTCAAATACTAAAGGTGACAGTCGTATCTATTTGATAGACAAGCATTTAAATAAAATAAATGATTATTTGTTGAAGGATTTTACTTTTTTATACCGCCTTTCCATTGTTGACGCATTAGGTTAGGTTAAGTCGTTTTAACGAGTTGATTATTCGTTATAACGAGTTAGCTAAGTCGTTATAACAAGTTATAACAAGTTAAAATTATAAAAAAAATCCCCATGACACGTACCGGCTTCCGTAGATAAAAGAGTGTAGGACAACATTATTTCATATCAGCAGGATAAGTTTTGTAAGCAGTAAATGAGAGCATTCTAAAAAATTGTTACTGTAATATAAATATAGAATTGCTTTTGCAAAATTTAGATGCGGAGTAGATCCGTTAAGAATAGAAATGGGAAGGTATGAAAATAAAGAGTATGTTTATGCGAAATGATAAGATTAAGGATGAGAAACATGTTGCATTAGCACGCCCGTTATATGCAGATTTTCATAGTTGTTTATTTAGTGAAGCATTAAAATGTAATGAAGATTTTTATAATTAATCGGATGATGACAAATTTGAATATTTATTTTAAAATTAACGAGTGTTATGATAATATGCTTTAATATTTTAAGTTGACGGAATACCTTTTTATATTCTTAGACTGAAGTTATTTTATATAATGATATGTAATATATGAATTTTAAGTATAATGTATTTTACAGTCTCTTATAATTCTTTATAGAATATACTTGTATTTTATCTATGTAGATCGTTCGTTTTATATTGGGTATTATATACTTATAATGTCCTGTATGTGTATTTTCAGCTAGTGGATTTCCTCTAATAAAATATTGAATCTGGATTTGTAGGTTTATTATTGCTGTTTGTACTTATGTTTTGTTATATTATTATGCCGTTATTATGGAATAAAGTGGTTTTCTTGTTCTGATAACTAATGTTTGTTTTTTTTAATTACCTTTTTAGATCACTGACAGAAGTGAATCGCGGTTGAGTTATAAAAAAACTAGTTAAATCCATCGACATGTTCATGTGTCGGTTTCTTGTCAACCTCGTCTGGAGTGTATAGACCTCGATTGTAGACAGCAGTATATTGTTGAACGAACCGTTGACCTCTAGATATCTCTTAATTAAATGTTTGTGTCTTTTGATTGCTGTCTCATTGACGTAAACACCGTGTCCGCTGTTATTCTTACTGTAATGTTGTCGAGGTCTACGATTAGGCCTACTGTAATGTTGTCGAGGTCTACGATTAGGCCTACTGAAATGTTGTCGAGGTCTACGATTAGGCCTACTGTAATGTTGTCGAGGTCTACGATTAGGCCTACTGTAATGTTGTCGAGGTCTACGATTAGGCCTACTGAAATGTTGTCGAGGTCTACGATTAGGCCTACTGAAATGTTGTCGAGGTCTACGATTAGGCTTACTGTAATCACTAGTACGTCAACTAGATCATGAACGGTTAATATCTGTTAATACATATAAACATAACTTAATCAAGTCTGTCCTAAATCTCCGTAAGATTTTATTTCATAAGCTGTTATAAAAAAATCACTACACTGCATTTGGTGCATATATTAAAAGGAAAGACAAATGAATATATAAACTTTTCCAGTTTGTGTGTAATATTTCCGTTTACGAAAGAGTTTGCTGAGAAATCGGTTATTTTTTGTAATTTTATATAATTTATTAAGTGTACACTTCCGTATTATGTAGGAAATTTACTCATATTGAGAAGGATTAAGTACATTCTATTGTACTTAAAATCAAAACGGATATCGAAATGTATCTGTTTATAGTTTGTTTAAAACTCAACTTTAACTTTGGAATTTAAGGATATGATAGGAGAGATATATTGTGTAAACCTAGCTTTATATCAATGATTAAAATGACGAGATGGGTTTTATTATTCTTTATATGTCACTATTCTGCTTCAGTTGAAAATGATCAAGTTTGTGCTGATAGCTTCTGTTCACAGGTAAATTTTTGTTATCTTTTACACCAATTATTAAAAAAAATGTATACAACGCAACAAGTAGAATGCCGCATTGCATGTTTGGTGTAGATCATCACAAACAGAAAGATACCAATATTCTACATTGGATGCGCATTTTCATTTACATCAAGATGTCGTTAAATGAAATTGGATACCCTGCATATATCATGTTTTTCAATAACATATGATAAAATCGCTGTAAGACCCCCCTCCTAAATTATTGAAAATTATCATTCTGAATTGACAATACAATCTTTGTGTAAATTAGATACACCCATTCGGGCTATCGCCCTAAAGGTATATCTAATACTTACATAGAAGTGTTATCATTTAACAGCAAAAAGTTTAGATTTTTGTAATTAAACCAGAAAAACACATAGTACAGCGATTCGTATTGCCATACAAAAGCAATGATAAGGTATCAATTTGATGACAGAAAAATAGACACAATTAAGATGTCATTCCAAATCCATAACTACAAAACATCTTCTGAAAGTGTTACCGCATCTGGAAATTTTGAGATAATGACACTTTTCATGTTTTATGCATACAAATTGCTCTTTTTAGAACAAGAGAAAAGATAAAATATTTATTTATTACTTCTATGTAAATCAGATGTAATCGTCTCATATCTTCGAGACTGACACCCCTCAGTTATGAGAAGCTTACATCTAATACATACACTTTATCTCTAAGCCATCTTTCATATTTTGCAACTTTGTTTGTTAATTAAACACAAATATCATATATATTCTACGAGAACATAAAATAAGAATCGACTTAAACGGTCAATGTTGGTTAAGATATCCAGTATTTGATATAGGTACTAGATACACCTATGAGGGCTTTATGAAAGTAAGATGTGGTATGATTGCCATTGAGACAATCTCCACAAGAAACCAAATGACATAGAAGTTTACAACTATAGGTCACCGTACGGCCGTCAACAATGATCAAAACCCATACCGCATAGTCAGCTATAAAAAACCCCGAAATGACAAATGTAAAACAATTCAAACGAGAAAACTAACGGCCTGATTTATGTACAAAACAATGAAGAAAAACAAACCAATTATGATATACAACAACAAACGACAACCACACGACTGAAATACAGGCTCCTAACTGGGGACAGGCACATCCAGGGTTAAACTAGTTTGTTGGCGTTATACCCTCCCCATAACCTAGGACAGTGGTGTAACAGTACAACATAAGAACAAACTATAAAAAACAGTTGAAAAGGGCCCAACTCATCAGATCGATACAAAGCAGAAAAGCATCTAATAAAAAACACAGACCTGACCTGCGTAAAAATTAGGATGTGCTATCCTGTTTGAAATAAGTTTTCTACAGGTACCGCAAAACTTCCAAACCAAATCTGTGTATCTATGGAAGAATTTAGTAAAGGTTTTAAGTAATTGGTGGTTACGAAATCCCTGACTTAATAATTTACCAGTTATACATAGATTACGTTCATTGAAATCTAAAACTATGGAAAGCCTCAGCTGTCATATATTAGAGATTTACAAAACGTTATGCTGAAGCTTAAAATGCAAAGTTAAGACAGCGTGATGTTGAATTGAGTCATCAAAATGCTAACTCTAAATTACAATATGCTAAGTTGAATTTGTGCAATGTTGACTTGCAATGACAAGTGCTTTAGTCGTGATAGTATAATGATAAGTCACGATGTTGTGATGATATGCCAAACACACGTAATGTTAGGTTTAAAGTACATGATGTGAAGTTGACGTTGCATGATGTTAGCTTGCAGATGGGTACTGCTCAGTCATCCACATCGACAGCTATGATAAAAAATAAAGTGAATAGCTAAAATGTATGGTGCTGACTTGTTATTAATAAATGTTGAGCTGAGATAGTACGATGTTATATCATTGTGATATTACGATAGGTCTATCATGCAATCTGTTGATTTAAAACACCATGATGCACAGTTGAAAGTACATGATGTTAAGTTAAGATAACACGATGCTACACCACTATATTGAAACGAAAGGCTTACCATACAATTTGTTGACTGAAAACAACACGATGCAACGTGTTAAGCTAAGATGCTCACTTGAAACTACAGGACGTACAGTTGAAATTTTGTAATGTTAAGCTACGATAGCACGATGTTATATCATTATAATGTCACAATAGGCTTATTATACAATTTGCTCATTTAAAACTACACAACGTACAGTTGAAAGTACGTGATGTTAAGCTAAGATAGCACGTTGTTATATCATTAGAATGCCACGATAGGCTTACCACACGATATGCTCGTTTAAAACTACATGACTTTCAGTTGAAACTAGGTGATGTTAAGCTAAGATAGCATGTTGTTATATCATTTGAATGTCACGATAGGCTTACCATACAATATGCTCATTTAAAACTACACGACGTACAGTTGAAAGTATGTGATGTTGAGCTATGATAGCACGATGTTATATCATGAGCTATGATAGCACGATGTTATATCATGATAATATCACGATAGGCTTGCCATACAATATGCTCATTCAAAACTACACGACGTACAGTTGAAAGTACGTGTTGTTGAGCTAAGATAGCACGATGTTATATCATTATGACGTCACGAGAGGCTTATCATACAATGTGTTGACTTCGAACTACACGATGTAAATTTGAAGTAGTTTGGTCTCGACTTGAAGCAGTAAAATGTTAAGTTATAAAAACAGAACGTAAAGTCAAAATAAAACAATGACAGGATGAATATACTTGTGCAGAATTGAAGATTTTTGGTGTTGACTTCGAATATAGTACAAATATTAGCTCGTTTTATAATAAATTGAAAGACACAATAATGATGCGTAAAACATTACAGAATTATGTGAATTGAAACTGCAATTCTATGGAAAAGAATGAGGGACAAATCCCCAGGATTTTTTCTTCTTCATTTGCAAGTTCGGAGGCAAAATGATATACAAAGAAAGTTTCCATAAATTCATAAAAGAATTACCCATCGCTATATATTACACTTGAATACAGTTTTGCCGTATATTTTACATGTTTTGTTTGGATTTTTTTTTATGATTAAAAACCAGACTTTTTTTATGAACAATATTTAAGAAAATATTTATCTATGTTGTGTGTTAATATATACAACATAATATTGTGCTTATAAGACTTATGACTGTGAGGGTCAAATTTTACTCATATAAAATCACATCTATGTAAGAGTTATCGGAGAATTTGTATTTACTAGTCCCGTTTTCCCGAAATAAAACATAAGAATCTGGAGTCTTAATCTTAAAAAACAAAGATCAACTCATATGACAAATAATACGCTAAAGCGTAGGACTGAGAGGATCAGAGCTATATCCCCCCCCCCCCCCCCTTTCCCGCCTTGTTAGAGGTATCTGAAAATTTGTGAATTTTCTTTTCCACGAAATCAAACAAAAAGAATTGACAGGTGGAAGAATCCAACTGCATGGGGCCAACCCAAATATAAAGTATGGTAGATTCTGTTGTATACTTTTCGCTCATACATGAAGTCTATTAAACCTAATGAAATTTGACCTAGAGACTCCAGTCTAAATCGTCAACTTTCAAAAAAAAAATCATCATTTACAGCAGTGCCAACCATTTTTCCAGCACCAAGTAAGATAGTGCCCAGGTTAATGTATATATCCACTCGGAGAATATTTTATTTTTTTAAATTGGTAAAGTCATTAATGGACAATGACCCCTATAACTTATAATAAGAAGCCAATTAATGATTTCCGTCACTTATTTTCTTGTCCATAGTGATTTTCTTGGTTCTTTGAAGCTTCTCTCTATCTATATGTGTTTTCAGAGAAAAAGAAAAAAAATAAAAAATCTGTAAAAATTGTTAAAGTCCATGAATTATTTTGGTATTGCTTTGATTAATTTGTAGATATGTTTTTTTGATGTCATCAGTTTCTCTCTCTCTCTCTCTCTCTCTCTCTCTCTCTCTCTCTCTCTCTCTCTCTCTCTCTCTCTCTCTCTTATAGTTTTCATGAGTGTGGTCTAAATAAAAATCGGTAGATTTTTTAAAATTATTTGCCAAAATGTAGTTTATTCTTTTTTAAAAAACATAATAAAAAGTTTGGGCCACAGAGCATTTTGCAAGCTATACAGGTTATGCAGTATTGTCAGATTTTGTATAAACTATACATGGAAAACTCAATGTTAGATAATAAAAATAAAAATTGGGATCACGAGACTCGTTTTCTGTCTACAAAACAAAATAGATAAAGTCCCTACACATTCCTACATTAGAGACGAAATATGCCAAAGGGATTTCAAACTCATAAGTCGAAAACAGACTGATAATGCCATGGCAAAAAATAAAAAAAATAAAAAACGACAAAAAATAATGTTATCCGAGTCATCTCCCCTATATTGAAAAGTTGAAAAACATATGCAAAAAACGTTCTGTATTCAAAAACAAATAGTCGTTTTAATCAGATAAATCACATAATGTTCTTCATCAAGATGAAAAGTACTACATATGAATAACATTCCTCTCTCAAAATGTGTATATTTTTTTTAGATATAGACCGATTGTGTTGTGCTATATGAGAATCTAAGGGAGCTACCATGTGATTTTTATGGGGGGGGCTAGGATGAAAACTTTTGTCCTGCCTTTTTTTGTTGTTGTAATCTCTGTCACGCCTTTTTATTTTTCACTCTATTCGGTCCTGCATTTTTTTTATTAGTTTATTCTGACTTTTTTTTTTACATAAATTGTCATCCTGCCTTTTTTTTTGCCAAGTTGCTCATCCTGCCTTTCTTTTACTCAAAACTCCTGTCCTGCCTTTTTTCAAATTTCATCCTAGCCCCCAATAAAAATCAAATGGTAGCTCCCTAAGATGGCGGGACACCCGACCTACCCTAAGGGCAATATATCTAATGAGGAAGAAATTTACAATTTCGGTCACGTCGAGTTACTTGTAGATCTAGCTCCTTTTGTTGAAAATTGTTTCTGT